TATTTAGTTTTGCTTGGTTAAAAATAGATGACTCTCTTCTGGAAAAATTGAGGCACCCTCTCTGGAATTACTAATTTTAAAAAGCCTCTCTCATTGTATGTCGATAAATTTAAATAAATAAATACATGGATCTGTTTCTGAGCATTGAAAAAACAAAACAAAAAAAACCTCCCTTACTCTGAACAGATGATTCAAAAGCCCTTCCACAAGGCATAACCAATACAACTACTGGTAATAGCCCTGCGTGGAAGTTGTCAGAATCAAAATGGAGTCACATGTGTTAAAAACCCTGACAAATAGAGCCAGAGAAAGGCAATGAAGGGAGGAATCTCATGCATAAAAGCCTGATAATAAGAACTATCACAAAGGGCTCTGAAAAACCACAACCTTGCACAAAAATATACTTCTGCAAGAACATCTGCCCAGCAACTTCCTGTCAAACCTCAGACTGGCATCACCCTTTTTATTGATTCTTAGCCAAGGATAATTATCTGAAAACAATTATGTAATCTTCCATCATTTTTTAATTAAAAACCTTTGTTTTCCTTTACCTCCACATAGTTAAATGGCACATGTATTCCCATTGCAATGCCCTATTGACAATTAAACTCCTAATTCTTTCAGACAGCCTCTGTTATGTAGGTTGACACTTGTAACAATTCCCTAGCCCTAATGATGCAAACATTATCTTAATGTGTCCGGTAATGTAATTATTAGCAAGAACAATGTAAACAGTAATATAGTGTAGACTAATGCAGTTAATAATGTAATCAAGTAACTAGTTTTTTTTAATGCAAGCATTTTAGATGCAGGAAAGAAAGTGGATTTGGGGGAAATGGTATATATGTTAATAAAATAATATTAATAAATAGATGTTCATCTTCCTTAGAAGGACGTCAATAGATACTATCTGTAACTGAAAAAATCAAGAAATAGCAGAAAATGGCTATTATTTGAAAATACAGAAACAGGAATTAGAAGAAATAGCTTGAAATGTTAAAGGTAGTTATTTGGGGGACCAATACTCAAGGATTAAGATGACTAGAATGGAGATCTGCTGTTTTGCTTTTAAGTCCTAAACTATTTGGTATATCAAACCATGTATATTTAAATTTGACTTCCTCAAAACAGGCTCAGTTCCCCCATTTGTCTGAGCTCATGAAAAATGTAAATCTTTATTAGGAGCTGTGAAGGTTAATTCTAGGTGTCAACTTGATGAGATTAAGGAATACCAAGAAACCTGGTAAAGCTATCTTTTTAGGTATGTCTTCTGCTTCCAGAAGAGATTAGGATGAGTGCCTGAGTGGACTGGGTAGGAAAGATCTGCCCTCAATATGGGTAGGAACCATCTAATCGGCTAAAAGCTTAGAGAGAACTTTCTCCCCTCTCCCCCCGCCCCGCCAGATACACTCTTGTAAAGTAAAGCAAATCATAACTAAAGCCAAAATGTTCCATTATTTTAATTATACTAAATTTCCATTTATATTGTCAGAGCTAGGGCTCAAACCCTCTAAACCCACTGTACAGACTGGGTCACCAGACCCCTCACACACAGGTCCATGCTAGGTAATTGGGAAAGATTCCAGGAGCTGTTGGCAGACGACTTGAGCTCAGTCCTCAGCTTCCTCAGTGGCAGTAGCGTACAGGTCCCATAGCTTACAAGTCCAGCAGTGGCCATGCAGAGGGTCCTGGGGGCGGCAGCAGCAGCCTCCAGCAGCAGTGGTGGTGGTCTCCCCATACCCCCCCATGGAAAGCATCCTGGGGATGGGAGGTGCCATGGATCAGAGCCACTCATCCTTATACTTAAGTCCATAACCCAGGACACCTGGGTGCACATGCGCAATTACGCTAGACGATAACCATGGAACACCTGAGCGCCTGTTTACAACAAATGCTCAGCAAGATTCTGAACATCTGAGGGGCCCTGACCATTTTTCCTACATTTTCCCAACAATCCACCCCTTCAGGGTCCCTCACTGTACAATCTGCAAGTCCAGAATCTTCCACGATGTTCCCTTAGCGAGGGTAACTGACCCTGCATTCACATATCCTATTCCATCCCAATAGTCCCAAAAGTCTTTAGCTCATTCTAGCACCAACTCAATAGTCCAAAGTCTAATCTGAGACCAAAGGCAAAACTCCTTTCAGCTGTGTACCTGCAAAAATCAAAAACGAATTTATCCACTTCCAAAATACAGCGGCACAGACATTGGGTACACATTCCTGTTCCAAAAGGTTAGGAATAGACAAGAAAGAAAAACAGGCTTCAAATCCAAAACCCAAACAGGGCAAACATTAAGCACACTGTGGCACCTGGATCCCCAAAGTATTGGGCAACCTTGCTCCTACAGCTCTGGCAGGTGCAGCCCACTGAGCTGCCCTGGTGCCTGCGGATTTTCCAGGCCGTAGTTGCAAACTGCCAGCAGCCCCACGGTTCTAGGCTCCTGGCTGCAGTCCCGCCCTCCTGGCTCCACTAGACACTTACTCAGTGGGGGTTCTCTGTGGAGGCTCCGACCCTACTTTTTCTGCTCCACATTGCTCCTTAGATGACCTCTGCAGCGGCTCCACCCCTGCAGCAAGTCTCCGCCTGAGTTCCCAGGCTTTTCCATACATCTTCTGAAATCTAGGTGGAGGCTGCCACACCTCCACTCTTCTCACATACCACTGGCCTGCAAACTTAACACAAAGTGAACGCCACCAGGGTTTTTGGTTTGTTTTTTTCCTTTGGAGGTGCTGAAGCAGGATTGCTCCAGCCAGAGTGGTTGGGATGCAAGGAGCAGTTTGCTGAGGGCAGTGACACCTCAGGTCTGCCCACCGGGACAACTCAGTCCTTTTAGGATGGGAGGGGTGCTCTCCCAAACTTCTCAAATGCCTCTAGGGCATTTTTTCCCCATTGTCTTGGCTCTTAGTATCTGGCTGCCTCACTTCCAAGATAATGTCTTTAGCAAACAGTTTATCTGCTTCACCCTTGCATTTTTCTCCTGCTTTTGAATTACCTCAACCAGCTCGGTTTACACCAGCTATTCACTCAAGTCTTGGGCAGTTTTTTGCATCATTCTCCCACAGTTCTAACAATTGCATCTTCCCAGACCATCAAGGAGTGGCTGCCCTGCCCCTGGGCACATCCGCGGCCATTCTGCAGCTGCTGCCTCAGAGACAGGCACATATTAACAGAGACTAACTTTCCCACCTTTTCATCAGGTGAAAACATACTTGAAATTCTGCAGGGGCACCCATCCTCGGATCATCTGCCCATCTGCATGTGGCACTCTTTTCTCGGGTTTTATGGCACCCAGCCAGCCATCAGGTTTAAGTGGCACACTCTGAGCCATTTGCCTTTGGACAAACACGACATGAGTTTACTACATTATCTCCCAGAGCATGTTACAGCATCCACCCCTAGGTCCCATAGCTGCAGTAACCAGGGGCTCTCCCTGTTTCTGCTACTTTGTTTCCCCAAGCCAACCTATTCAACGTGGGTATATGGGACATAGGCAGTAAACTGGATCACCTGTTGATTGCCCACCAGTCAGTCTGGTCCCACAAGCTACTCATGCTTCACTTTGATGAGCAGGTCATTCCAGGAGACACACAGTCTCCCCCAACTCACCATCGGGTTTGTCCTACGTCTTCAGTGTCGGAAGCAGGGATGACCTGTTGCTGTACTTTAGCTTCCAGGGCACGTATCCTCACTTCAAATCAGTCTGCTTTCTGCTGCAAGTCTCAAAACTGTGCCACTTTGTGGGGTTTCTGGTCCATATTGGCTCACAGTGCAGCGAGCAACAGCCAGACCCCATTCAACAAGAAAGCGGCCACCAGGCACCACATACTCAAGGGTAGCCACATTTCCTCCCCCACTCAAGGGGTTTCCTGCTTCTTTACCCGCTTGTCATCCTGTAATGACTACTCAAATTGCTGGGCTCTTTTACTTGCCCAGAATGCTACCAGAACAATGCAAATTGCTGGGCTCTTTTACCTGCCCATAATCCTGCCACGACTATGCCAATTGTAAAGTAAGGCAAATCATAACTAAAGCCAAAATGTTTCATTATTTTAGTTATTATTTTAGTTATACTAAGTTTCCATTTATATTGTCAGAGCTAGGGCTCAGACCCTCCAAATCCATTGTACAGACTGGGTCAGCAGACCCCTCACATGCAAGGCTGGGTCCCCAGATCCCTCACACACAGGTCCATGCTAGGTAATTGGGAAAGATTCCAGGAGCTGTTGGCAGATCACACGAGCTCAGTTCTCAGCTTCCTCAGCGGCAGCAGCTTACAGGTCCGGCAGTGGCAGTGGCCTTGCAGAGGGTCCCGGGGACACTAGCAGCAGCAGCCTCCAGCAGCAGTAGTAACCTCCCAGTAGCCGTGGATGAGAGCCATTAATCCTTATACTTAAGTCCATAACCCAGGACACCTTGGTGCACATGGGCAATTACACTAGACAATAATCAAAGAACACCTGAGCGTTCTATTTACAGGAAATGCTTGGCAAGATTCTGAACATCTGAGGGGCCGACTATTTTTCCTATATTTTCCCAACAACTCTTCTCTCCTGTTCGTGCACATCAAAGTTCAGGACTCTTCAGCTCTCAGGTTCCAGGACATAACACCAAGGACACCACGGGCATCCCTGGTTCTGAGGCCTTCGGAATCGGGCTGACCCACGCTACCAGCGTCCAGTTTGCAGACAGGCTATGGTGCACTGCTCTTCACAATCACGTGACCCAATTCCCCTAATAAATCCCCTCTCGTATATTCATAAACATATCCTATTGGTTCTCTCTCTCCAGAGAAACCTAAGATGGGAGGCTTCTATGGTCACACTGGGGTGGCAACGAGGACGGAAAACACACTCAATGCAGAAAAGTGAAGGCTCTCTAGTCTACTGATATATGTCTATCACACCTTATAAAACTTAACCCCGTCATAAACCTCCATGATATTAAATGCAAAACGATACATATGCACGCACCTGTACATCCATCCTTCCTGATGGACAAACACACGCACAATCCACACACAAACATTTACAAATTCGCGCATAGGAATGGATGAGGTGGTGGGCTGGCCCAGAACCATCTCTCGGCATTCAACTAACTCTATCACCTTTGACTTCTGAGGCAAGAACGTTTGAGGAAACATAGCGGGAACAAAGGGTCAGCGCTGAGATGACAGACTCCAAGCTGACTGGGCCAAACCGCGGGGAGGCGCGTCCTTGGGGCGGAGCTGACCCCGACGAGCCCCGCCCCGGCCTGCGTCCACCAATTGTGCAGTTGCCGCTGGAAACCACAAGAGGAGCAGTCCCAGAAAGAACAGGGCTGGCTGCCTTTCTCAGCGCTCGAAGCCGCGCCATGCTTGTCCTCCGAAACTGCCTGACTAGAGCGCTGGCCCCGCGAACGCTCGAGCCTCAGGTACCAGCCGCGGGGGCGCGCCCGAGCCGTGGCCCCCGGGAAGGGGTGGGGCGGGGCTTCTGTGCGGAGCCCGCGAGCCCCGCGCATGCGCCGCCTGGGCCCGTGCGCGCCAGAACCTTTGCGCTCTGTGCCGCCGCCCAGTTTCTAATGCGGCGCCTGGATCCCTCAGGCGGGGATCCCGGTACGCGCGTGAGGAGAAAGGGCGCCGCTAGGGGAAGACACGCTTGCCGGTGTCGCCTCCTGGCCTGCTTGAATACAGCCGGAGACAGAGGGCTCTTCTGAGTTGGTTGTCGGCTGCCCGAGGACACCCCTGAAGCGCTGGCTGTCAAATTTGCGCCGCCCAGCTTCGTCGCGGTTGTGGCAGCGGCTCAGGTAGCGCTCGCCACGTTGTCGCAGGGCCTTGCCAGGCGCTGTCGGGCCTCCTGTCAATGTGTGGTTTTCCACGCCACCGCTCCCTCCAGACTGAAGGTGGGAGGAGGAAAAGGCCAACCAGCCGCTTGCAGCAGAACCGGCTTCCCATTTTAAACGAAATGCTCAACCTCTGAGCGTTTTGCTGAGATCCTTGAAGAGCAGCCCCAGGGCCCGGGTGGGGCAGGACCTGGCCTAGTCGCCCCGGTCTCCAGCTGTTGTTCCCCGAGCCAGGCAGGGTCCAGAACCTCCTAACAGACATGACGACAAAACACAAACTCTTAACTTAGACTAGAAATGAGCAAAATGTAGCTTGTGATTCAGACTTAACTGTCGGGCATTGGCCAGTTCTGTAAATCTAACCTAGAGATTTCTTTTCCATGTTTGGACTTTTACTCCTTTCTCAACGGGCAAGTTAGGAAGGGAGTTCACCTGTTCTAGAGACAGGCTTTCTGGAGGACACCAAAGAGCCATTCATGCTCATTCGCCCAAGATGAACAACGCAGTCTTTATCCTTCTGATTCTCTGTCTAGTGGGGCAGGGCCAAAAGTTATTTTCTTACAACTTTATCTCAACTTTGACTTACTAAATTTCTACCAAGTGTTCTTTTATAAGTGAATTGGAAGTCATTGCTGGCGAGAATGATTATCCTAACTTGGAGATAAGGGAATATGAACCACTCGTGATTTCTGCCATAGCAATTTTAGTCAGCCCTGAAACAAAATCACTTCATCCACCCCATCCTCTCACTGCAGGTTCTCTACTGTGTATTTCTAAAATGTGTGCCTTTGACCAAATACTTTATCCTCGAAATCCACATCCCTCTAATCCACCTAAAACCCATTTGCCCATTTTCTGTTATTTTTATGGTATGTTTTAAGCTATAGATTCTAGGCAGTTCTTTATTCTGATAACATACAGTTGGGCTGGCCAGTTAGCTCACTTGGGAAAGCATGGTGCTGACAACACCAAGGTCAAGAGTTCAGATCCCTGTACCGGCCAGCCACCAGAAGAGAAAAAAGAATTTGGTTTAAAAGCACAAAATATTGTCCACCAAAGGCAGAAGCTGTAGGTTTTTTTGATGGCAAACGTAGTCATTTGGGCAATAAGAATATAACTCATATTAAACATCAATGGAATGAACTCAAAATAGGTGATTATCATTAAGTCTTATTATACGTAATATAGTAAAATACATATACTATTGTGTTTTGTAAAGAAAATTATATCAGCAAAAGCCTACTGCTTTCATTAGACATGTCACATAGTCACTATAAGCCTTAATTTGCCTATAGCTTTGTAGGCACCCAAACTGCATTAACAGCTTATTCTGGTATAATCAGTGTCAAGAAATGGGCACATGCTAATCAAACTACATAAGATCGATTTGTAAAATAGAATGCAATATGAGTGTGTGTATATATATATATACACACACACACACAAGTGTACATACATATATATGCACATATACCTAGAGGGTAATTTCTGGCAAGACATTTCCTACTGAAAATTAAGTTTGCTCAGAACAGGAATTAGAAATTTACATAGTGAGCATATGACTATTACAACTGGAACTAATAGTTCCTAAGGGATGTTTCCATCAGCTTGGTTTAACTGGATGCATTAAATGCCCTTCTTCACAGTGCATCTGTAATTAGAAACTAATAATGCTTCAGACAATTCTGACTACTTGAATTTTTCTTTTTCAGCTTTCATACAGTTTACCACTATATAGCAATGCAATTGGATAGATCATAGCTTCATTTTGCATTATTACATTCCAGTTCTATTTTTGACCAGCAGTTTACTTCATTAAATTTAGGAAATACTTTGACCTGAATAGCAATTTCTATTTTTTTAAGAACCTAAAAAGTTTCTGCTAGAAAACATGTTTTCATTGTGCCTGCCAAAAGACACACATATTTCATAAAGCTCTTTTAAATGCATGACTGTGGTACATAATAGTATTAACTAAAATGAGATATTGTCTAAATAAGGGAAAACTTTTTATAACTTTATGAAAATCCTAATTGTAGTTATTGGGTAAAGGAATTTTATTAAGACCACAGTGCCTTCTTAAGAGCAACTTATCATGAAAAAGTGGCTAAAGGTGAATCTCTGCTAGGAAACAATAGCTATATGTTCAGCATATTTAAGAGTACTTATCTTTATTGACATCTCTACCTAAATACATGTCTGTGGAGAGTTGACAAGAGAAGTACAAACACAAATTATGAGTCTATTGAGTGTCCCTGGTTTCCAGACTCAGATTTGGTTGTAACATATGATAAATCCTACCTTCTCCCAAACTATTTAAATTTGCCTTATCTTTTTTCAGGTGTGCTCATCTTTTGCCACAGGCACCAGACAATATGATGGAACATTCTATGAATTTCGTACCTATTGTCTTAAACCTTCAAAGATGAATGAGTTCCTGGAAAATGTTAAGAAAAACATTCATCTTCGAACAGCTCACTCTGAATTGGTTGGATATTGGAATGTAGAATTTGGAGGCAGAATGAATAAAGTGTTTCATATTTGGAAGTATGGTATGAGTCATCCAGCTTAAGTGTTAAGTACAGATTTTCATTCTGTTAGACATAACAAACTTAGCTCTTGGATCTACATTACTATAAATACACACAGGTTAAGTGAAACTTTAAAAAGCAAAACTTAAATATATTCAGTAATTACTCTTCCCAGTGGTACACCACAGATAATAACCCCTTGCTCGAACTCTTACATTATCATAAATGGGAAATGTGGAGTCTCATATTTCAAATCATAGAATTATGAACTAGACTTTAATTCTCAGTAAAATTTTAGAACAGTTTATTGTAAAGATGGTTTATGAAAAATTTAAAGCAGTCATTGCAAAATCCAAGGTGAATTAAGATCACTAAAGGAAAAGAGAAATATCTTTTCTTATTATTAAATCTAGGGCTGGATATCAGCATTTTATCAGAAATAATTCAGACATTTAGGGGCTTTAGGAAAATGGTGGTCCATAGGGTATGATTGTTAGCTTTTAAATCTCACCCAACTCAAGAAGTTTTATTGTTTCAGGGTGTATATTTAATTCTAAGGTTTAATAATTCTGTTATATTGAGAAGCCACTATTGTTTCATTTCTATACCCCAGCATTTCAAGGAATTCACCATTACACTACCCTAGGAGATAAAGAAGAAGGAATCAGAGAGAGTTCTTCCCATATTGAAGCTGACCTACCCCTGGTTTAGTAGGGGAAGGAAAACTAGCTACAAGAATCCCCCAAATATTTGTTATTCTAGTGTCCACTTGAGGACTTGATGATATCCAAAGAACTTTTAGTAATTTCATCTAATGTTTGGTCATCAGTGTCCAAATTAATATTCATAAAGCACTTTAATATGAAAAGTATTCATTCTGTACCTAACATGGGCATAGTTTAGGGTTTTTCCCTGTTGTATTTGAACAAACCCCATTAAAATATAGTTTATGCTTTAGATATGGTACAAATTGAATCATGGCTCATTGAAAAAATTAAAGTCTTGATCACTCAAGCTGTAAGATAGGTGTTATTTCTTTTTCTTTTTTTTTTTCTTTTAATTTATTTTATTTATGGAATAAAAATTGATTATACACCTTTTGGGGGTTCAACACTGACATATGTTGATCAAATCAATATTACTAGAATATATATTGTTACAAATTGTAATTTTTCTTTATGCCCCTTGTCCAATCTCTCCCCATTCCCCTCTCCCTCCCCCTGCCTTTCTATAGGTGTTATTTCTTATCCCCAGCATAAATCATATAAAACTCTCTTACCATTAGTCTTATGAGGTCCTAATAGTAAATATAGTACTAGGCCCATATGTTGTAAATGCATATACCTGTTTGGGTAACTTAAAAAGAAGAGAAGTTCTGAGTAAAAAGAATGGTTGACAGTAAGTTAGAAAATCAGCACTATTTCTTTGAAAGCTATTTGTTCAAAGAAGAAGAGGTTTAAAAGTATGTATTAATTTCACTTATGTTAAATATGATTTAAGGTGTACTTTGACCTGACCACCCACCACCACCACCATCAAAAAAAAAAATTCTCTAAATTAGCGCTGTAATTGCCTCAATTGAATTATTAAGAATAGTCTACATATATTGAGTAATAATTAGGTGCCAAACACTGTTCTAAGTTCTTTTCATGTGTTAATTCATTTAACCTTCACAACAACCCTGAAGGTAAATATTATATTGTTATCTTCATTTCACCAAGAAATTGAGGCACAGAAAGATTCAATAGCTTACCTAATTTATACCACTGCTCACTAAGAGGTAAAGCCTATAAAGCCCATTACATGACTTACAATTAGTTGTTTGCATTTCTACTGCCCTTTTAGACCATAAGCAACTTGAGGGCAGATGTCACATCTATTTATATTGGTATCTCCAAAGGCATAACAGAATGTTCCTATATGGCATCAATGAATGTTTGCTGATTTGAATGAAATCCAGAAAAGTACAGGTTCTTTTAAATCAAAAATTTTTATTTTTCTTAATTCTTTTCTGCTATAGATAATTTTGCTCATCGAGCTGCAGTTCGGAAAGCACTGGCCAAAGATAAGGAATGGCAAGAACAATTCCTAATTCCAAATTTGGCTCTCATTGAGAAACAAGAGAGTGAGATTACTTATCTGGTACCATGGTGCAAAATAGACAAGCCTCCAAAAGAAGGTAAGTCCTTCTGTCTTAGCCACTTTGAGTTCTGGTGAATAAAATACTAAGGAACTTAAGCAATAAAAATTAAAGTTCCACTGGAAAAAAACAAAATTAATCCTTTGTTTTGTATAGGAACATATAGTGATTATTGAGATAAAAATAAATCAGAACTCTTAGCTTTTTCTTAAAAAAAAATTAGCTTTGTCTGGCCAGTTACCTCAGTTGGTTAGAGCAAGTGTTGTAACACCAAGGTCAAGGGTTCAGATCCCGTTACTGGCCAGCCTTCAAAAACAAATAAACAAAAAATTAGCATTAAATACTGAAATATTTTTCCAAATTGGGATCTTACTGGTTCGTAAAGCTTAGCTGTGTTATAGAAAGAGTTGACATGGTTAGTAAAGTTTGAGAGTAGGGCATTGGGAGCAGGGAACTTGTGTGGTTAGGTAGAGCATAGTGTATGAAATATTGTCATAATTTTAAAATAATATAAACTTTTAAAATGTAAAAGCATTTTCCACAAATTGTAACCTATCTTAAATCATTAAGTCCATCTTTGCTTATAAAATTAACTGGGGGGAAAGAATTAACTAAAACTGCCAAGCTATATGACTGTGGTCTAACTTTTGTGTTCTCCTCTTTCTTATTTCTGAATTTGAAAATAATTCCTTAAGATTTGTCTTCTTACTGAGTTCATTTCTTGCTGACTTAAAGAAACTATTACCTTAATCCACTTTTAAACAAAAGTCAGATTAGAAAAGCATAAACTAATTTAAATTTTATTTTATTTTCCCCATTATTTCCAACTTTGTAGTGTATTTTAGATTATAAGAAATTTGAAAAGTCTTATTTGGATCCTTATCCACTTAGCTCTCCCCTGAGCTCTCAGCACTAGCTAAATAAAATAGTTGGTTTCCTGACATTGTGAAATCTTGGTTTTCTTCTTCTATGTTGCTCATGATTCTTGGATAACTTTTTCACGTTTTTCTTTTACCTCTCAAATCCACTTGTTCCCTAGTTTTCTTCTCTCTACTGGCCCTCTATTTCTGTCCAGAAGGTAAAACATTTTTCAAGTGTTTACCTAGATATTTAGGAAAAATCAAATCATTTCTTTAGGTTTGGGGTTTTTTTGTTTGTTTGTTTATTTTGTTTTTTTGTTTGTATGTTTGTTTTTTGTCCTCTAAAACACAGAGACATCACTTCAGGTTTTTTTGTTTGTTTGTTTGTTTGTTTTGTTTTTTTGTTTGTATGTTTGTTTTTTGTCCTCTAAAACACAGAGACATCACTTCAGGTTCATTGTTTGCTTTGCTGTTAGAAATGGAAACTTATAGAGGGTAATTATACAAAGAAAAAAGTAGTGGAAATTGGGAAGAAGAATGAAAGTGTAGGAGATTGGAAAATTCTTCCTTTATTCATTTCTTTTCTAAAAGTATAGACTTGGGCAACTCAAATTCTATTTCATTATAAATTTTCAGTAACTTGTTATATTGACAGAGTTTATAGATTAAAAATATTTCAGATAATAGCTAAATATATAGTTTCCAGTCCTTTTTCTTTGTCATCTTTATTATTAAGCTTAACAACTCACCCTTAAACATGGGTAAGGACTTTCTAAACATAAAAGCAAAGAAAAATAATGCAAATATAATACATTTGTCTACATAAACGTGTACATGTATGATCTTCCAAATCTTTATATATAGATTAGCCTTCCACTGCAACCAGACAAACCTGATTAGAAATTGCCTGAATATGTTCTGTAAAATAATTCTTTTTCTCCCCATTCTAGGAGTCTATGAACTGGCTACTTTTCAGATGAAACCTGGTGGTCCAGCCGTGTGGGGTGAAGCATTTAAAAGGGCAGTTCATACTCATGTCAATCAAGGCTACACAAAACTAGTTGGAGTGTTCCATGCAGAATATGGAGTACTCAACAGAGGTATAATTGTCCATTTCTTATATGAAATTGCAGTGTATATTGGTAATATACTAATAAGTCCCTTGGGTCAGTTTGTCTCTCTCATTATAGAATGTATTTTATTATTTATTATGAAATTTTTAGTTTTTTATAATTTTAAGAATTTTACATCTTATTTATTTAGAATGTTAACACTTATGAAGCCTTTTTCAAATGCTAAACTACTGTTTTCCCTGATATATCAAAATGATTAAATTTTAAAAATTGAAGGAACCTCAAGAAATAATCTATTCCTTTTATCGTCTTTGTTTCCTCTGAATGTATTTTTATTGATTATTTAAAATGTCCATCATCAGATGAGTGGATATGGAAAATGTGTATATCTACACAATGGAATAGTACTCTGCTATAAAAAAGAATGAAATACTGCCATTTGCAACAACATGGATGGACCTAAAGAGAATTATATTAAGTGAAACGAGTCAGGCACCGAAAGAAAAATATCACATGTTCTCACTTATTTGTGAGAGCTACAAATAAATAAATAAATAAATACACAAATAAACTGGTCAGGGGGAGGGAAGAAGACACAACAATTACAATTCCTTGAAGTTGATACGACAAGCGAACAGGTATGAGGTTGTTGGGAGGGAGGGGGGACGACGGAGGAGAGAGGGAGGTTTCGGTAATGGGCCACAATTATCAACCACATTGTATATTGACAAAATAAAATAAAATTTAAAAAAATAATTAATAAATAATAAAATAACATTACTTAGGGTAGGGCAATTGTTTCTAAGTAAAAAAGTAATATATATTTTTCATAAATATTAAAGCCCCCCATAAAAATGTATCCATTTCTCACTACTTAAATATATATAATATATATGTATATATATTAAGGTAAATTTATATATATATATAAGTTTATTTAATAAAACACGTATTTGGGGCATTTAATATTTAAAGTTAAAGGATAGTACAGTCATAAATTTCAAGATTTTTTTGTGGCAAATTCTGAAATCATTTGGAAAGTTTATCTGAAAGGATAAAAGACTAAGAATAGCTAATAAATATTTAGAAGACGCATAATATTCAGTTGTCCTCTTATCATCTTCACTTCATATCTAGTCAGCATCTCAAACCTAACATCCCCAAGGCTGAGCTCTGATCTTTATCCACAAATTCAACTTCTAGTAAATGTATCATAGGAAAATAGAATATGCAAAGATAGATGTATGTTCAAGTTGGAAAGTACATGGAGGAGAAAAATTATTAAGAAAATTATTAGATGCCTGTCACAACATATGCTAAAATAAAATCAAGATGTATTGTAGATTTCAATGGTAAAAATTCATAGGGTTGCTAAAAAAATAAAAATAAAAAAAGATGAGTTTATTTAATAATACGCATGGGGACTATATTACTAAGCCAAAAAGCAAATGAAGAAAATATGAAGGAGAAAAAAATCAACTGATGATTTTATTATACAAAGGCTCAAACTTTCTGCATACCCCAAATCACCATAAATGAAATTCAAAAGCAAAAAGAAAAATTTATGCAAAGGTAAATAACACAGATGGCTACTAAATATATATTAAAGAAAGTGGAAGTTAAGACAATAGTAAGATGCCTTCTTTTTTTAAACTAATAAAGACATACTTATATGGATATAATATTAGATAGGTCAGTAAAACATAAGTGCTCATATACTGTGTAGGGTTCATATTCGGTTAATCTTTCCCCCCAAAATTTGGCAATATAAATAAAAAGCCTTAATTCTTTTTATTGTTTTTGCCAGTATTATTTCTAGAAAATATGCATGGGTATACGTGTGTAGGCATGTTTATTTATACAGGAGAGAAATTCGAAAAGATATAAAATATGTGATAGTCATATTTGAATGATGAGATTAAAGATTTTTAAGTCTCTATCTTAATTTTCTATACTGTACATGTATAGTTTCTATAAGAAATAAACTACTGAAAATGTGTGTGTACGCACTTGTTAATCTTAAATTCACTCTCAGTGTGCTAGGAGAATGACAATAGGCTGATGTATAAATCAATACATCATTTCATGGTGAGTATAATTTGTATATTTGTAAGTATATATATATATAAGGGGGTCTTCAAAAAGTACATGGAAGGATTCATATTATCTTTTATATATATATATATTTTATTGTACATGTTTATGGGGTACAGTTTGTTTTCATTATACGCATATGTTGTATAATGATCCAATCGGACTAGTTAGTGTATCTATCACCCAACATTTATCACTTAATTTTATTGTACATGTTTATGGGGTACAGTTTGTTTTCATTATACGCTTATGTTGTATAATGATCCAATCGGACTAGTTAGTGTATCTATCACCCAACATTTATCACTTATTTATGGTTGTAGCATTCAAGATCCCTCTTTCTGGCTATCTTAAAATAGACAATGTTATTAGCTATTGTCACCCTACAGCACCAGAACTTATTCTTCCTATAACTTTGTAACTTTATAGTGGCCTACCAACCTTTCCCTGGCCCCTCCTCCCCACTCCCTTACCCTGCCTCTGGTAACCACTATTGTACTCTCTCTTTTTTCTCTATTTTTCTTAATTGACCCATGATAATTGCATATATTTATAGAATACAATATGATATGTTGGTACATTCATATTGTGTGTAATGATCATATCAGGGTGCTTAGTATATCCTCACCTCAAACATTTGTCACTTCTTTGTGATATTTATTCAATATCATCTTGACTAATGATTCAAAGATACACAATACTTTGTTGTTGACTGTAGTCTCGCTATATTGCTGTAGAACATTAGATCCCGTTCTTCCTACCTCTCTACTATTTTATATCCACTGATCACCCACCCCCCATCTCCCCACCAGTCATTAGTAACCACTATTTTACCCTCTACTTATATAAGATCAACTTTTTTAGCCTCCACATGAGTGAGAACATGCAGTATTTCTCTTTCTGTGCTTGGTTTATTTCATTTAACATAATTTTCTTCAAGGTCATCCATGTTGCTGCAAACAGAAGAATTTCACTCTTTTTTTATGGCTGAATAGTATTTTGTTGTGTATATATACCACATTTTCCTTATCCAGTCATCCATGGAAGGACTTTTAGTTTGCATACAACTTTTGGCTATTGTGAATAGAGCCGCGATAAACGTAGGAGTGCAGGTATCCCTTTGTATTGTTGATTTCCATTCCCAGTAGTGGGATTGCTGGATCATATGGTAGTACTATCTATAGTTGTTTGATACAATTCCATACTGGTTTCCATAATGGCAGTACTAATTTAAATTCCTACCAACAATGTATAAGAGTTCCCCTTTCTCTGCATCCTTGCCGGCATTTGTCATTCTCTGTCTTTTTGATAATAGTCATTCTAACTGGGGTGAGATGATATCTTATTGCAGTTTTGATTTGCATTTCTCTGATGATTAGTGATGTTGAGCATTTTTTCGTATATCTGCTAATCATTTGTATGTCTTCTTTCAAAAAATGTCTATTCAATTCTTTTGTCCATTTTTAATCAGATTATTTTTTTACTATTGAGTTGTTTGAATTCCTTGTATACTCTGGATAGTAATCCCTTGTCAGATGCATAGTTTTCAAATATTTTCTCCCATTCTGCTGATTGTCTTTTCGCTCTGTTGATTGTTTCCTTTGCTGTACAGCTTTTTTATTTTAACATAATCTAATTTGTTAATTTTTGCTTTTGTTCCCTGTGCTTCTGAACTATTATTCATAAAATCTTTGCTCAAACCTATGTCCTGAAGTGTTTCCCCTATGTTTGATTAATTAATTTATAAATTTCTTTCCCAAGTCTCTGACTCTTCTGAGCTCTCATTACTGAAATACTTAGTTTTACCTATTTGATATTACTATTTTGATTTAAAGAATAGGATATTTTGGTTTGTTTTTCTGTATTTCTGTATTTTTCTGTATTTTTGTTAATGTCATATTCTTCAGAATCTATTTATGGTTTATTTCTGCAGTCCATGTTCTTTGGTGGAATGAGAGTGCAGATAGTCGAGCAGCTGGGAGGCATCAGTCTCATGAGGATCCCAGAGTTGTAGCTGCTGGTAAGCTGTTTCACGAGTCATAGATTATTTAAAGAAAAAAATTGATTCAGTCAATAACTTTATACCTTCTTATGAAATGTTTTTCCAGTTCGAGAAAGTGTTAACTTCCTAGGATCTCAGCAGAATATGCTTCTGATTCCTACGTCATTCTCACCATTGAAATAGTTTTCTACTGAAATACAAAACATTTCATTAACTGGTATAAAATGTGTCTGCTAATGTTGCTTAAATATTTCCAAGAGTTTCTCACTTTTATTTGTAGGAGGTGGTAAGTTAATTTGCTGTGTCCCTTGCATTATTTAAAGCTACCTTTGTCCTTTGTCACCACCACTTCAGGAAATGGTTCTGTTTATTTTCCTCACAGCATTTCAGTATCTGTCAGACATTATAAACACTTGTCACTACTTCAAGATCTTGATTTTTCCATTTGTTTCACAATATCTCTTCTTCTGTACTTTGACAACCTTTTGCTTTATAGCATTTTCTTATATTGAAATGATGATGTTACATTTCCATGCCTGTGACAATATTTTTAAATTACTAATATACATTATCAACCTTTTCATTGTGTCATTTTTCCTGAGATTTTTCAGTGTTTTGTCCAGTATAGTTTATTTTATAATACCAAATGGGATTCATGAAAATCTTAAGCATATTTTTTGAATATGGAAAAGTATATTATCATTTGTGTCATATACATTAATTATGGTTTTCACGTTATTAGTCGCTTACTTGGAAAATAATGTTATTAGGTGCTGGTATTAAAAATCTTTGAAGACTCCTTGGTTCATTTGCTGAAATGTCTTCATTTGTAATTCATTTTACTAAATTTACTTCATTCTGGATCCTATTTAACAAAGATACTTGAGACATCTGTTTATTTTAATGAGATCTTTATGAATATGGAAATGTTTGTCCTATTAAAAACCTACATATACATTCTGATTCTTTTTATTGAGTTTTATATTTTTATCATGTTTTCTGGAGCTATTGCTATGTTGCTGTAAGTTAATGAGACAGTTATAACTTACTATCTTATTATACATGAATAGCTCACACTAACCCCAAAATGAGTTTCTTTAGTACTGTCATGGATGTGCTAGAGTTTTCTTACAAACAACTTTGATTTTTGATTTTATTGAGTGCTTCCTTCCACCTTCTTAAACTAGATTTGGTACTTCCAAATTCTCCTGATAGTCTATATTTACAGCTAAGTTATTTTATATTCCTAACATATATTGTAAATGTAACATAGCAAATTATGAATTAGCCACCAGAGGGAAAATTGAAAATCAGAAAGTACAGTCACCATTCAATTATCTAGACACCAAGGATTCAAAGGACAGATGAGTTTCCTAGTAAGGCAAAGAATACCTGACTCTGTAGGTAAAAACTTATCAGAGAAGTTAGAGGCATTGGCTCTGAGTTTTGTCTAAGAGTCTTCCATCTCAATGTTTCTTTGGAAAGTAGGTGATGGCGGTATTAACTGCAGTCGGTGCAGACAGATTTTCTCTGGTGTAAAATCACCTCAGTACACAAAGCCATTTTGTGTCATGGAAGTGTACAACTGTCTGTGTTTTTCCATTTTTCATACATCTTTAGATTAGCTTGAACACTTCCTGGTGGTAACTGGGGTTCTTTGCTTGTATATACCAATACATGGCCCTGATGGAGATTTATAAAGAGGCAGCAGCAGAACAGTGTAAAAAAAAAAAAAAAAAAAAAAAAAAATGCCTGTAATGATTTGCTTCTCAAGATGTTAAACTCTCCAGATATTTACATTTACTCCTAGATGTCCTGATTTGGTTACTATATTAGCTTTTTTTTAAAATAAAAGGGGACTCAAAGTGCAAATGAAGGTGGTCAGAGTGTGGCCTGCAGCTGATAAATGCAGTGTGTTAGAAATCAAACCAGTCAATAGCACAAGAAGCCAGTGGCACTCATGGGATTGGGTTTCCTTCCATATATCAGGTCCCAAAGCCAGGCTGTTTGATGAGTGCGTTCAAGAGTTCCTGGGTGCCCATGTCCCCAGGAGTATCGTTACCATGGGTACATGAGAGGCAGCCATCTCAGTAATCCATTCAATTCAGGAATCAGGAGATAGAAAAGTTCTCCTAAATTAAACATTTTATGAAGCACTTCCTATATGACAGATTCTTAAAACAGAAATTCGTAAAATACAGAACCCACCTACAAGGAGCTCAGACAGCTTTCTTAGGAAAGTGTATACGTATGTGTGTACATGTATATATACACACATATATACATACACGTACACACACGTGTACACATACATTTACACACACATTTACATATGTATTTTAATTTGAAGTAAACTCATTAAGGATCAGTATTTCAAAAGTATTTCCACAATTATACACTTGCAGACAACCAGAATTTTCCAAGAAAAAGCAGGCAGATTTTACTAAGTGTTTACATGGACAACTAGGAAGCACAAAAATAATGGGCACATGTCATAAACATAAGCCATATTCTACAACTATGGGAAATACAGAGTCAGCACTAGGAAAGCAAAGAATAGAGTAAACCTGAACTGTGTAAGAACTATGTAAGAAGAAAACATGGGGTTAGTTTGCAGCTTCCACCATGGGAGCCTTGAGACCCCCAGCAGCAGTCCCCAGAGATCCATCTCTTTCAGCTTCCACCACCAGAGCCTTGAGCCACCCAGCAGCAGGCCCTGGAGCCCCACCCCACATATCTTCCACCATGGGATCCTTGAGCCACCTGGAAGCAGTCCCCAGAGCCCTGCCCCATGAGTCTTCCACTGGGGGAGCATTTAGCTGCCTGGCTGCTGCCCCAAAAGCCCTGCCCCTTGCAGCTTCCAATGCAGAAGACTTGAGCTGCCCAGCAGCAGCCTCTATAGCCCTGCCCCATGTGGTTTCTGCCTAACAGCATCCTCCTTAGTCCCATCCCAAGCAGTTACACAGCAGGCCACAGCCTCTAGAGCCCCTCATCACCAGGCCACAGCCTCTGGGGCCCTACCCCTCACAGCTTCTACTACCAGAGCCCAGCACTGCCATGCCACAGCCCCAGGAGTTCTACTCTGTGCAGCTCCAGTCACCCTCAGTCATGCCACACCTGTCAGTGTCCCCAGGTCTGCTGAGTCTACCAAGAACAACTGAGTCTACCTGAAACTACTGAGACTATTGAGTCTACCCAGAACCAAAACTAAAATATCCCATCCAACAGGCAACATATATCTGCAGGAGGAATTCTCTCTGCTCAAAAGCCACTAGAGTAACTGAAGAAGCAACTGCTCCACCAGNCCCAGCACTGCCATGCCACAGCCCCAGGAGTTCTACTCTGTGCAGCTCCAGTCACCCTCAGCCATGCCACACCTGTCAGTGTCCCCAGGTCTGCTGAGTCTACCAAGAACAACTGAGTCTGCCTGAAACTACTGAGACTATTGAGTCTACCCAGAACCAAAACTAAAATATCCCATCCAACAGGCAGCATATATCTGAAGGAGGAATTCTCTCTGCTCAAAAGCCACTAGAGTAACTGAAGAAGCAACTGCTCCACCAGATGACCAGACATCAACATAGGGATACTAGAAATTTTAAAAAAGAAAATAAAAAACCAAGAAAATATGACACCCCCAAATGAATACAAGAACTCTCAAATGCCAGATCCCAATCTACAAGAAACCCTTGAAATTTCTGAAAAAGAATTCCAAACAACATTCTTTTAAAAAGTCAGTGAGATACAAGAAGAGTCACATAGATGACATAATGAAATGAGAAAAAAAAATCCAAGAAATGAAGGAGGAAATCTGCAAAGAAATTAATATTGTAAAAAAGAATGTAGCAGAACTCTTGGAACTAAAGGACTCACTTAATGAAATAAAAACTATTTTCAAGAGCTTAAGCAGCAGGCTAGAGCAAACACATGTTTTCTGTGTTAAGTGGCAACTAGGTCTACCCTGGGTCTTTAAATATTGGTGCTGTAACTCTTTCCAATTCTGTTGCAGATTCATACAGCACAGAGAAGCCACAAAACAAACAAATGAAAAAATGGAGTTAGAGACAAAGAGACTAATCAGCATGTTTACACATATAATTAACCCTTGAAAAATGGGGATTTGAAATGCTCAGGGCCTCTTATGTGAAGGTTTTTTCAATAAATGTTTCAGAAGATTTTTGGTTAGGTATGGCATAAATGCAAACAGTTAAGTAGCTTCTTAGTAGTTAAATAGTTAAGTTTTGGGGGAATCAAAAGCTGTACATGGATTTTTGACTGCATGGGGATTTGGCGTCCCTAACCTCTATGTTGTTCAAGGGTCAACTGTATTGCCTTTCTTTTTTTTAGAAAAAGGTGCTTTTTTGTATCACTGATATACTTCCCTCATCTACAGGTCTACAAATCCTACAAGAATGAAGAAAAGACAAACAAGATCTAGACATTCTTTGTCCTTTTGTTAGACATACTAGATTGTTACGGAATAAGGGGTATTCTTGTCTTAAAAAACAAACAAACAAAAAACTAGCTAATATCCCAAACTTAAAAGAATAGGTAATAATTACATGAATTTTACTATGCAGAAAATAAGAACCCAGAAGTCCTATGCTTTGACATAGAAGCGTAGGAAGCCCTGTGACTCAATTACAAAATTAAAACACAGCTCCAAAAATCCAAATGTTTTATAACTTAATTGTATGTTTTAGTGAGGGCAGATTATTACCTAAAACACATATGGCTGTTCTTGACAACAGCAAGGAAAGGGGCTGAAATGCTCAACAGCAGACCAGCCTTTTAGGTCATGGCTAGTTCATGCTGTTCTTTGCATGCATTATTAGCTTGTGTAGGGACCTTAACCACAGCTGATAGAATCCATTCCACTGTGTAATTCTGGAGTCCATTCCCTTGGCCCCTCAGCAGAGTAAACACCCTTGGTCTGCTTGAACCTTCCTCTCTCCTGGGATGTAGAAGGCAAACATACCTGACAAATGTGTACTGCTCATTATACATCCAGGGCTGAAGTTCCAGGCTGGGGTACTTGCCAAAGGGTGACACAATCAGGTTGAACACCAGGGCAATGCAGACAAACACATCTGGCAGGACAATCTATAAACAGGCAGTGAAGGGGCAAGGCGAATGGCAGGAAAAGGACAAGTGTTAGAAGGAAGGACAAGGGGCAAGCCTCTACCAGTCCAGCCAGCTACCAGACCAGCCAGCACAGGAATGAAGAGTACAAGACTCAGAGACTAAGTAACTTGCCCAAGGTCACACAGCTAATGAGTAGCAGAACCAGAATTCAAATCTAGGTCTCTATTCTCCAAACTCATGATCTGTGCATTACCCACACAGTTTGTAGGAAGGACTCTCTGCAGATCCTTTCTCTTTATTTATTGAGTTTATAAAGTAAAATAATTTTATCCCTCCTAACCAAATGAGTTAGCATGCGAACACCTACTTGTGGACGATACTGTAATGAGGTCTCTCTTGTCCGGTTAAAGTCTGACCTCCCTGGCTACCTTTTCTATCAATTTACAGTTAAACATCAATTTAGCAAAAAATAAATTTTCCAATATATTCATTTGTCGAGTGCATCAGGCGTAACATCTCTTATGAAAGTTTCAAAAACAAAAATGTATTAATGTCAGCCCCCATTCTAGGCACTCAGGCATTTTTATCCTCATGACAACCATATGTCATAGTACTATGGTTATCCACATTTTACAGATGAGGAGTTTGAGGCACAGAGAGGTAACTTACCAACAAATACACAAGTGGCAAGAAGCAGAACTGGGATTGAAACAGAAAATCTGTTATCTGTATCCACCATGATGTTCTGCCTTCACTGTTCAGACAGCCTGCAGCCTACCCATGAAGCCAGAGTCCTTGGACTGTAACAACACATCTCACCTGAGCAAAAAATCCTTCTGACTCCACCTGGCAATCAGCATCCTCTTCCACAA